TTGCCAAGATAGATGCTGCTGCACCTCTGGACAAAGTCTGTTTGCTCGGCTGTGGGTTTTCCACAGGCTATGGGGCTGCCATCAACACTGCCAAGGTTGGTATTCAGGCATGTCGAGCACAAGCACCCCATGGCCACCCTCGCATCCTCACCAACCCTGCACAACAGAAACCTCCTCTTCACACTGGAGACTCACAGGGCCCCATGTTGTACAGGTAAAACCAGGCTCCACCTGTGCTGTCTTTGGCCTTGGAGGAGTTGGCCTCTCTGTTGTGATGGGCTGCAAGGCGGCCGGAGCTTCCCACATCATTGCCGTTGACATCAACAAGGACAAGTTTGCCAAGGCCAAGGAGCTGGGAGCCACTGACTGCATCAATCCTCGAGACTTCAAGAAGCCCATCCAGGAGGTGCTCACTGAGATGACCGGCCATGGGGTAGACTACTCCTTTGAGGTCATCGGGCAAGTGGATACCATGGTAAGGTGGCATTTCAGCACATGTCCTCCCTCCCAGCTCTTTCACAGCCTCCCCCATCAGGGCAAAATTCACCCTGTTAGGAAGCTCCTGCTGCCTGCACTGCTGGGCACATCTTTGCTCAGAAAGGCAGTCTATGGGCTGTGGCAGAAAATGACATACAAGTCTCAAAACAGGCACTGAGCTCTCCATGCCTGCTGCACAAGGCAGTAGGTGTTTCCAGATTACCAGGGAGGGGAGATGACCACGCAGAAGGAATGCTTTTCTGACAAACTCATTAGAACGTTCTCCAATTCGCCTGTCTGTCCCATCAGATTGCTGCCCTGGCTTCCTGCAATATGAGCACTGGCGTCTGCGTTATGATTGGGGAACCAGCTTCTGGTTCAGTGATTCCCATCGATCCTGTGCTTCTGCTGTGTGGGCGTACATGGAAAGGAACTGTGCTTGGAGGTATGAAACTTAGGAAAACATTCTAGATAGGCTTTTCAGCCTTCTCCTTTCATGGTACTTTCCAAATATCTCTGGAACAGGTACCCTTCAGGGCATATGAATAACTCTCCCCTTGAAAATCAGTTTTGCCATCTGAGCAATGTCCTCAGCTGCAGGACAAAGGACACTTTTCCTTGAAGTCATTATTGACTAACCTCTTGGTCATACAGAATAGTTCAAGCTTGGCAATGTCCCAGAAGCCCTATTTGAGAGGGTTCAAGAAAAACACAACTAAAGAGGAGCACAGCCTTTCCACTGTATACATAGGAAATGAAACATGCTAAGAAACCTGTAACAGTTTCATACAGTTGAATGCACACAACTGTCTGTGCTAACCCAATCTCCTGTCAAGGAGAGGAATATTTCTCACATGATAAAGGCACCAGTACTGGTCACTCAGTCCTGACCCTCACAGCAACATTACCTTACCAAAACAACATTTCTCTGATTATTCACTGTGGGTGATTTCTCCCATTTTTAGGTTGGAAGATGCAAGATTCTATGCCCAAATTAGTTTCCAGCTATTTGGAGAAGAAATTCAACTCAGACTTACTGATCACGCACACGCTGCCGATTGCTAAAGTAAATGAAGGATTTGAGTTGTTACGTGCCGGAAAAAGGTGAGACCCTGACTATCAGGAGAGAGGTACAGCAGATGCCACCTCCACCTAAAATTCAAACAGCCCAAACACTCTGGCAGGCAGAGAGATTATGCAACGCTGCCTTCTCAAAAAGCATTGGAACCTTTTGAGGAAGCAGGGACCAGAGCCATCTGTCAGGAGAATCCACCCGGAGTGAAGAGCCCACACTCAGCACAGGGAACACTCCTGTTCACAGTTCAGCTCAGCAGAGATCCTGCGGCCCCTGTGCTGCATTGGAGTTCTTCCTGCCACATGGGATGTCTGTTGATTGAATGCACTGCATGGGCCGAGTTTGAGTGAGGCATTAGTAAAGGCATTAATATATGCCTTTGTGTTTTAATTAAAAATTTTCAAAGGGTTTGAACTACTGCAGTCAGTGGAAAAGATAAGATTTATACTTAGCACCTGAAGTGCAGTTCAGAGTCTATTCCACAAAGTGATTTCTGTCAATTGTTCTTCCATTTTTCTACCACTTTGATACTGACAGGAAACAAACATAAGACACAAAGGGGGCCAGAACACTGACTATCGAGATGAAGACAAAGACCTTGAGTCCTGTGCCTATCTGTACAAACGTCTGACCTAACTGATCAGTTATTAAATCTTGTCTGATACATAAACATGTATAGTGTCAGGATATGAAATATTGTTGAATGCAGATACACAGTATCTGTCATTAAAAAGTTAATCATTAAATCCATGCCTACTGACATACAAGATTGATTTTATTTTCCATCTATTAATTGGATAAGGAAAATATAATCCTCCTTTTGTAAGGTATACACAAAGCTGCACAGCAACAAGATCTCAGTATCAGTTCCCCCCCATACTCACATACATTTCAAATGCTTTGCAGAAATGCCAGATACTCGTGGCACTTCACAACTGCAAGCAGGTCACAGTATTTGTAAAATTTCTTGTTTTAAACTTTAAACACTAGCAACCATATAGGACATCAGTAATACAGCATTTGTCCTCTGCATGAGAAAGAAGGTGGCCAGTCCTCAGGCACACCTGCCTGTCCCACTGCCTGCTCCTGAACCACAGCACCTCTAACTCCTCCCTTCCTTTCCACTTTTCAGTATTCGCAGTGTCCTGCTCTTCTGAAGGACACAGCCACAAGAGGCCAAGCGGAGGGACCAGCACAGCAACTCTGAGCTCTCCAACTCTTGCACAATGTAAAACATGGAATGGTAATCAAAACCCAATAAAATAAGGCCCAAAGGCTGTGTAAAGTGGGTCTGTCTGAACAACTTAAAGAATATTTTTTTTTTCATCTAAGCACTTGACCATCAGTCCACTTTCAAAGTGGAGTGAAGATTACAAAGCACATGAAAGCACCTAATCCTGGAGAAGAACCACATCTTTGCTCCACCAAATCTTCTGAGTGAACTGACAGGAGAGCAGGCATGAAGGATATGTGAATCAACTATAGAGCTGGGTGTGGTAATCATGAGTCTACAATGTAATGCCATGCTGATTCATGAATGCTGCATTTTTTTTGTATCCTAACATTAACAGATTTTGATTTTTTAAAAATATTATTATATCTATCATTTTGTTCAGCAGCTTAAGAGTTGGGTTCTGCTGACTATATATACCATTGTAAATGGTTCCTGATCCAAGAAGGAGTTTATGTCGTTATTGGTAGTCTTGTAGGAAATTATTCTATTCCTTAGGTATAGAAAAATGTCCTTTCAGCCACATGGAAGAAGGATTCCTTTCTAGTGGACAGGCCTTTTTTAGTCAATCATTTCCTTCTAGGCTAGAGCTGGTGGCATCATGAAGGTCATCATGGCTGAATTAGGCATGTGAAAACTTACTTTGATTACAGACAACACAAGTTCTTACACAGCAGGCCCAGGAATGGGAGAAGGACTGGCAGAAGGATGAACTGTCTTTTAGTGCTGGGCTAAGCAGTTAAGGGTGAAGAAAAAGGGAAGCATAGAGAAGAGAGATAGGGAGAGAACACAGGTCTAAAGATAAGAAGGATACACACCTCAGCAAAGATTTTTATTTTAAGTTCAAAAGAACTCTCATTGCTTTTTCTAAGAAAATGCAGTATTTCAAAGCTATAATCAATATACGGCATTTTTGACACACTGGGGTCAAGTTCACATGTGTAACTAGGAAAAAGTGATTCTCTTTACTGGCATTTAACAATATCATCTCTATTTTCAACCTTTTCATCCATCATCTGTTCCTTTTATCAGTCTCTCCTTGGCAGCAGCTTAAAGTTGAGTGATATCTAGTGATTCTAGCTGGTTGCCAAATTACACATAATAACCATGTGCATTCAATATTTTAATGTGTGACATTTCTTTCCAGAGTAGCAATGGGAAGGACACATTACTCTTTGGAGTGGTTTCCATTATTTAGCTTATCTATTTCAGCTACAACTCTATTTTAATCAATTCTACTGCTCAGTTTCTTCAAAATAACAAAAAGACCATCTCTTCTAGAATGTAAATGCAGACTCAGCGGTCTAAAACTACTCTCAATAAAACAACAGTAGATTTATGCAAGATATATTTTAACCCAGAAAAATATATACTACTGTGTCTTAACAGTTTATATGGGCAATGAGCCATATATGTGATAGGAAAAATGGAAAGGAAACCAATGGGTTTGCTCCATAACATATACATGAAGCATTGTAGTATCAAACATTGTTCTCTGCTGATGCTTACATACTGTTAGAGGTGAATGTAGAGAGCAACCAGCTCTGAACAGACCATTGCTTAAAATATTTTTATTTTCTGTTTGAGTATTTGTGACTGTACTGTTTTCTTATACTTGAGAGAAGACAATCACACACTATTTCTCATCAAGTGTCCCCCTTCGAGGTTTTTCACATTGTAGAAGTAACACAAACACAAATGTCAATCAATCTTTGCTTCTAGAACCCTGTAAACTAGCACTATGTGAATGTAGTATATTATCTGAATGATCCTTTGGTGTTTATTTTAAGCTGAAGACTCTGAGCTCTGACTTACACAAATGCTGTGACAGCCATGCCAAATACTTCCACAGGGGATATCAATATTTTAAATAAAACCTAGTTCCAATAAAAATCCAATACATCATAAAATTGTTGCATTTACACCATCACTTCAGAGAAATTGATGGTGATGTGCTCTTCTATTCATATCAACAAAATGGTAAGCAAATAAATCTCTTATAATGCTGATCAAATGTGTGCTTTTTTAACATCCTACACTTTTTCTTTTAAACCACAATCCACTGTGCATAAAATAACAAAACAAGACTATTAAAGTAATGAACTCATCTGAAGACAGAGCTCAGATGGTTCTTGAGAGACCATGTAGATTAGCTTTTTTTCCCAGTGCAGGATTAACTCTCTTTCATTTCTGAGAAAAAACTTGTGCTCAGAGGCCTCCAACAATGATCTATTTCATTACCATTTCAAACTGTATCATACTGTCAGCCTCCTCAGAGAGACTAAATCGCCTGCTCAACCTTATAGCTACTTTTTATGTTCCTGAAGGGTATATCTACCCTTGCCCTTCTCACCATGAAGCATTACTTCTCATCTTGTCAACTGTATTCCTGTTTCCACTGCCACTATGATGGTTGTCTTTCCTCTATGCCCATAGAGCAGGATACCATTGACTCACATTCACTTTGTCATCCACTATTCTTTGCAGACATATTTTTCCTGCAGAACTGCTTTTGTCTTGTCACTTGCCATCCTATGCTGATCACTACACTCAGTTGCATCCCAGTTCTTTAAAGGCATTCCCCTGAACTGTCAGGATAATTTTCTAATCTTGTCTTTCAGTGTGCTTGTAACCCTTCTGCTATCTGCACATTTAATGAGTGTACTCTACTCCAATATGAAAGTCAGAGAGTAGAGGTGACTCTACTATGGATTGTGTCCAACAGCTTTAGGGAGATACATTTCATAATATGATGTTGATCTATTTTTTTGTTCTAGCCAATACACTGTGAACTGAATTTCTCATATTTGCCCAGCAGAATAAAAAAGAATAAATATTTTTCCCACTATTCTATTTACATCCTAAATGGAAAGATTGTCCCATGTTATGTCCCCTTGTGGAATATACTTGAATTTATTTTTTTAATAGTTCCAGTAAAATACTGTCCAGAAATGTAAGATCAATGACATTTTCTAGCATAAACTTATACTTTCTTGCAATCCCAAAGTCCCTCAGCAAAAACCCCGGATGTTACTGAAGTGGCACGAACTTCAGCGGCCAGAGAAAACTTGGCCATTGTATCTCACACTCAGCACTTTCTTAATCCAGTGACCCTCTCTCCAGTGCTTAATTTCCAGATCACTGGATTAGTGATAAGTGGCAAAAGAGTCAACATAGATTGGACAGCAGAGCATTCAAACAATTTTTCTCCAGAAAGATTTCTGTCATGTCTCCCATGGGGACCATCAGGACCCTGCAGTTATGAGTGAGACTGGGAGAAAAAAAACCAAACCTCATTGCAGACAAACCCCATCACATTGGGTGCCTGTTCTACAGCAACACTGCACACTGTAAATCTTTTCTCAGGAAATCTGTTGCTCAGCCACAATCTAATTACTAGAGTACTGCAGATTGCTCATCAATAGTTTGGTGTTCTGAAGACCATCTAACAATCTTGTTACTGAATTTCCAGTCTCTTTAGCACAATCAAGGTTTTTAAAACTACTTGTCCCTGAAAATAATATTGTTCCCTGAAACTGGAGGAAGCAAATGTAATAAATATGTCTATCCACTAAAGAAAGAAAACTGATTCCTCCCATGAACCAGGGCATCTGAATTTCTCTGTGCACATGTAGAGATGAAATGATGATTTCCTCCTAGAGGCTTGGAAATCTTAGATAAAATAATTAACCTGCTATTTTTTGTCATGCTTTATAAACCAACAGTTTATTAAAGAAAATAAAAATAAAAGCCTTTTTGGACTAGCAAATTATTTACCATAAATATGTTGACCCTCAGCAGTCAGTAGGGACTTTGGTGAAGTTGCAGTATGGATATATTCTTATATATGTACATGTTTAGTACATATATATTATGTATATGTATATTTAAGTTAGTGGAAAGCATGTCTTGATTTTGCATCACCATGCACTGTGATGGAAACATTGGCTGGAACAATTTGGTTACTTCATTGCCAGATTTGGAAACATGCCTGGCTATGAGTATACTGTGCACAAAGACAGAATGCAAGTTGTTTATATGCACATGCATGTGTAGAAAACACCCTTCCACAGTAAAATAATGTCATAAGCAGTATATGGTTGAGAAAACTTGAGTTCATCCTCCAACTCTTTTGGTGTTGACATCCCTCCCATACCTCAAAGTTAGCACTGCTGCCTGACCCTGTTCTTTCTTTCTTAATAGGAACTTCTAGCACCTCTATCCCTTGTTCCTCCTGTTCTGCCTTTAGAGACAAGGGCTGCTCACAACATCAGAGTCAAGACATCCTCAAAACTCATCCTGGAGCAACTTTGTTTGTGAAAACTCCTAGGTCTCATAATTTCATTTCAGAGTCTCCTACAGCAGAAGAAAAGTCTGCTTGGGGCATCCAAGTCATAACTAAGAAGTCAGTAATTACATGTGTACACAGTATCTCTGTTTCACAGAAATTATTTATAGAACAGTACCACAGAAACATCCATCTCATCTATTTTGTAACAGAAATCCTTGGAACTGCCCACCTCAATCAGTACAGTTTTCAGTAGCATTATTTACATTTTCTTTGTATATAACACATTTTTCCTATGTAGAACAGGTAGCAGAATCCCTTTGCCATACCTATTAGGAAATACACAAGTTGGCAAGCCTGGCTGGAAATGCAAGTTTCATGCTCCAGGTGGACTGGCAGAAAAGCATCTCCCAGAGACAGAAAAAATTCCCTTGTTCACCCAGCACCATTACCAGGCAGCACTAACAACAACATTAGTATAAAAACTGAAGCAAATTATCTCAAAGTTGCCTATACTGTGCATGGATAGCTCATGTTGTAGCTCCTGACAGGACTGCAGATACAGCTCTATCTATATCACATTCAGAAGGACCCTCCTGTGTTTCAGTTTGCGCCCACTGCCCAACAGCAGGCACTAC